ACCAGCGCATCGCCGCCGCCGCCGCCGCCGGCCTGGAGACTCTTCTTCACTGCCATCCAGAGGGTAAATATTGTTGTTGTTGTTATTCCTGTTATTACAGAGGCAATTATGTAGAACCCGACTGCTAATTACAGATGCATTCATTACACACGGGGGTGAAAACAAGAGTTTGCTGGTAAGCCAACGCTCTGCTAGCCCTTTCCCCCCGCTCTTTGCCTCGGCGGTTCAAGCGATCAGGTAACACTTACTTTGCGCGTTAGGGTTTCTCAAGAACTGTCTTTGATTTTTTCTTTGGGTCCTGCTGTTTCGGTAATCAGTGTCTCCACAGTTGCAGTCTTTGTCTTTACCGCTGTATCCCCGGGAGTGTATGCTGCGGGTCCTTTTTCTGATGGCAAGTATGTCGCTAGATACCTTACACTTGTGAATTCGAAGTTTGCCGGAAGCATCCTCCGTGCACTGCCACTTCTGTGAGAGAGAAAAATGAAGACGATTTCCCAGCAGCCTTCCAAACCCCTGCTACTTTCAGGTGGATTGTAAAACAAGACAGGCAAATTTCTTTAAAAATTAAGCAGTCCCTTAAATAACAAACTGAGAAGGGAAACATTTTAAGGGTCTAAATTCACCCACATTCTTCTCAACATCTCTCTCATGCTAGGCAAACATAAGCTTGAATGAAATCACTGCAAATCTGCATTAAAAAATACAACCCAGCCAAAAAAGATATATAAATCAAGAGTATCTAGACTAAACACATCCCTGAAAGGAGCAAGTAAAAAGTTTTAATTTACTGAGCCACAGAGTACAGCTGTCAGGGCTGTTTTCACCAACTCTTTTTTTTCTTTGAAAAAACAAACTTTGTTTCTTTGTTCTGTGACTCGGAATTTCTAACATGATTCAGGGGAAAATAGAAAATCCCCACAGATGAAGAAGAACTGGTTCTGTCGTAGGGTTCCTTGGAAAAGAGAAGGACAAATTGTGGGTGTGATTTATAGAAAAATACATAAACCACTAACAACATGTAATTTATTTCCTCACCGGTGGTCAGAGTTAGGACCTGCACCCTAAGACGTGCCCCTGCAAACCATGCCACTCAGACCTGCAAACCTTGCTGGCTCTTTATACTTTACACGGGAAGGGAGAAGCCTGAAAGCGCGATACCCCTGGCCACCCTCCCTACACCCAGCAGGTGCGAGCAGGGGAAGAACCTTAGGGACAGTAAACAAATAAATTAGCTTGGATAAACTCCTTTGGATACCTAAGTCTTGAGATTTGTTTCAGACTTGGGAGAAAAAAGTGCAGCCTGGAAGGAGTACCTGTAAAAGGCATCGTACGCATGCTGAATATCAGAGCAAGTGTGGGAGAATGAGAGGAAACAGAGTTCTTCCAGCTTGTCTGCACAATATCTGTCTGACTTGGTCATCAATATCACTGAACCAGATGGAAGATTCCAGGTGGATTTTTCCAGTGGATCCCACTGTCTTCACATTGCAAATTAAAAAGCAACTGGGACTTTAATTTCCTTTCCACACTGAACTGTCTTAAAAAAGCTAAATGTCATTTTTTTTTAAACATGGATAGGTGCTGACAGATCAGAGCTCCTTTGCCCATGCCCAAAGCTTGCCATATATGGCTGCTGGGTTATAGCTGGCACTCGTAACACCCTACACAAGCTAAGAAGCCTGTGAAGATTTTAAGTCAGTTGTAGTCCGAATAACAATAGGGAGAACTAGAAATAGCTATGTTTATTTATAATTTGAATACAACTATAAATGACTATTACCCGGTGAGTTTTGTTCACTCGTGCATCTTAAGCCACAATGACCAGACTTTGCATACAAAGCAATTAAGGTTGGCTGGATAGTGTAGAGAACAAAACTCAATAATACTATTGATAACTGGAACCTTTTAGTTGCAGTTTCAGCTAAGTTTCCCTATAATGTGTCCTTTTTTGGTACCCGTGACTGAATAGCGCAACTTTCTCTTGCCTCATTAATAATAGCAAGACAGCTAGATGCTGGTCCTAATGGAGTCCCCAGCTTAATTTTTGAAATGGACACTAATATCAGAGCACTCACATTTCGGTAAGTCTCTTCCATTAACTAATGTCTGCTCTGGACTCTTTTGGGGGTGCTGTCAAACTGACTGAAGAATGAAGAAAGAAAACTAAGCCTCAGGTAGATTTGCTGACCTGATAACCTGAGGTGTGAGCTGATGTGGCTCTGAACCGCAGCAGCATGAGAGCACTCTCTGGCCTAACATGTGGGCTGAGCGAAAAGATGGATCCCGTGCTCAGAGACCTTGCCTGTGAATTGGCATGACTCTGATCCCAGAACAGTAAACCATGTGTAAAAGGCCATAGACCTACGTACATCTGATCGCCGCCTGAGAAGTTACATTTGTGCCCAGACTTTCAGCGTAAACCCACACCTACAAGTGACAAGGTGACTTTCTACAGGTAAAGATGTCTGAGAGCTATAACGCTTTGCAGGATTTTATTCTGCAATAGCATGTGCACTCTTCCTACTGCAACAAGAGATGGTTGTTACAGGATAAGAACTGCCTGCGCCACTATATTTCCTGTGTTTACTTGGTACGTGTTACACTTATAAATATAAGGCACTAGTTTTTAATGAGTCTCAAAAGCACCACTTTAAAGCAAAATAAGTATTCTCTTTGTCTAACATTAATTATAGCAAGAGGTTCCAGGAGTGGCTTCAATAGCCATTTAGATCACTTTTAACAGTATTATGACTAACGTTGAAACAAGACTCTCTGTGTCTAATAGAAGCAAATAATAGTTCTCTATTTAAAACAGGGATTAAATGGGATTCAGTTCCTCTTTTTTTTTATTTTACCTTAAAAAGTGTCATTATAAAGATGCTTCAGAGTTTTAAGATGGAATTTTTAGACTAACTTTCCTGAATCCCTGCCCATGCCAGCATAATTGGGCACTGAGCATGCATTATGCAGCAAGTCATAATGGTCCTTCTGCTCATCTTTAGATCTATAAAATGCATTAATGCACATAAAAGAAGATTCTGACTGCTGCGCTGCCCTTTCCCGTCCCCTATTTTCTACCTTCCTTCCTGCTATGAATACCAAACTATTCTTTCAAATCCAGGATTATTAGGTTCGGTTTCTGGGCCCCCATTTCTCCATCAATAAAAAAATATTGGCACATATAAAAACTAAGTATATCTTCATTAAATTTTAATTTGTATATGTTTTCTTATTTTCCCCATGTTTATCTTCCTTCTCATGGTGACGTTTCACAAGACACCTAAGCCGATCTAACAATTCACTGTTGCCATAGGAATACGGGATAGTCCCTGCTTCTGGCTGCATGCTGACTTAGGGACCCCTGCGTTGATTTATTTTCTCCCTCAGTAGGAGAAAAGAGGACTAACTCAGAATTAGAAAAAAAAAAACACAACTAATGGGAGAGGAAAAGCAGGACCCTGCCATTTAGCTGCAACGAGCTGTTATATCATTTCAGTCATGTTGTGAAACTTAACCTGTGTCAGCCTTTTTCCCTGTCACTGACTCATCTTTTCCTTCTTTCATCTCATTTCATCACCTACCCTCCAGCAATTATTCCTCTCTCACCTCAGCTCCCCACCTCCAGTTTTCCTCCTGCCTCAATTTAACTTCAGAGGAGAAGCAAACGTGGAAGAGGATCCTTAATACCCCCACACCAACAGAGTCCTGAAACCCCGCACCTGAAAGCTGGCGGGACTATTCCGCTGCGAGGGGCTTTGCTGGTTTACAGCCACCCCGAACCGAAGCAGGGACTCTTGTGCAAGTGCGCTAGGGGCCCCGGCTGGCTCCGCGTGAGCTCTCCCTGCTCTTGGCAGCAAGTTGCAGAGGCAGCTTAAGATAGGTAAAAGGGCTGAGAATCATTTGGGGGCTCGAGCTGCTTTAATCTCTGCCGAACGTGAAGTTTAAACACGTAAGTACATGTGCCTGCTCCTCGGTGGAGAGGCGAGCACCGGACTGCAGCAGGACTGCAGCAGGAGTTTCTCCACAGGTGATGTCATTGGCATGATGCATTTTCATCTGGGGGTAGAAGTTTGCCCTTATAAAGTCATTTCAAAGGCAAAGGGGAGCAAATGGGCTGGTTAAAAGGGTATTGCTTGTACTTGGTGGCTTTGCTTTGTGCTGCTGCTGGCACGGCTCCAGTTGCGACTTAGAGCTACATGAGCAAGACAACAGCAGATGACTTGATAACTACCTTGGGTCTCAGTTTCCTGGTATTAATCAGTTTGTGCCACTGCCTTAGAATTAAGTGAGTCTATTTCATTACTGAATATAATTAAGGCATAAAAATATACATTCAGCATGAATCATTGTGATGTGCTGCACTGTAAATACCCACTTAAGCAGGATATCAAGTCAACTTTGTTTAGTTAATAGACTGTGACAGCTTTGAGAGAGTTCCTGCCCCTTTATATAGAGAGGAAATTAATTAGACAGTTCCTGAAAGGTGTCTTAAGAGTAGGCAAGCTAAGGGTTTCTGTGAAATGTAATTACAGAATGTAATTACCGGTATTTGCAGTAGACACTTCAGTGTTAAATATCTTGTCAGATTTTATCACAAAGCTATGAAACCCTGAAAAACATACAACCAGAAATATAACACGGCAACAATATTTTTACAGGTGCTTTTTCATTTTGGTAATGTGTGACTGACTTCGAGTATTATTGCTCAGCCTAGGGAATGTTAAGATAAGGCATGAAAAGGAAGAGTCATGAATTTAAACATGTCCTCAAGATCTCATTTCCCTTTTTTCCTGTTTCAAAAGGTATAATCTAAATTTGAAAACAGTTTAGATGAAAATACCATCATGGGCTGTGTATGTGTGTACCGCTTTCCTCTATTAGCAGTAACCAGACCTGGGTGAGTGTCAGGGGACCTGATGTGATAATACCGGTAAGGGAGTCTGGTTTAGGGCTGTGCTACTGCAGTGAGAACTGAGTCCTGTTTTTGCTTTCTCTGTGCCATTCAAAGAGGCCATGTCACACAGCATATTGAAAAGTGCTCTGTGATTAGTTGGCTATGGTAAATAGTCCAGAGCAGCAGCAGTTTATTTCTGCTGAACTGGACCTGAATACTGAAAAATGTTTACGGGCTAAGGCCATGTCCTCTACGCGTTCCCGCAGAGCAGTCATGAACCCTGGTCCTGACTGAGGCTCCTAAGTGCTCCTGGAAATATTAATCTGTGTTGTTACACCTCACCAGTGTTTGAACATTGCACGCGAGTGCAGCTGTTTCACAGGGATGGTGTGCCAGGTTCGCTCAGGGAATTTGGAATTGCTGCATTTTTATGGAACAAAAATCTCCTCCTTGAGTTTAGAACTGGGTTGACGCCACCCTTAAGGGCAGGTCCCAGTTTTTGCACCACTCCCTCATAACTGGACCACCTTGTATTGAATCACGCACAGCTCCGGAGTCTACTGACGTTAAC